GACGCTTATAGATGACTCGCTCGATGATGAATGAGTGGTAATCTATGTGTGAGTTGCATTGACTGTGTGTGTTCTATGGCCTGTGTTTGCTACGTTCTATTAATGGTGGGACTGGTGCCTGAGGCGAAAATGCGGGGGACCCAATCAGAAGCAACCTGAAGGATGCGCAAGTCGTGGCGACGATGATGTTGGGATCGTCATTTATTTCACTCATTTCACTCTTGCTTCTCTCTTCCTGCTCCTCCCACCCACTTCTCGTTCGCCATTGAAAGAGTCCATCATGTAGAGACTGCCTTTCTGTCCAAGTCACTCTATTACTGCAACATGTTCTCGTCATTCTCATCTCTCACACGCTTTGGTCTCGGCCTTGGCCGGAGCTCAACCTCAGCTGCGGAAGCTATCGCCATCCCTCCAGTCGAGGTGCACGACGTCGAAACCTCCACAGACAAGCGAGGACGTGCGCTAAAGCATCTGCTGAAACTCAACCATGTCAACTTTTCTATCCTGTACAACCATTTGAGATTCCACAACCACACACCTCATGTAGGAGCTTCCATCTTCCCCGGGTCATCTATCTACTTCTAACATTCCACGTTTTCGCTTTCACACCGTAATGCATTACTCATGCTATTTGGCCTTATAGATCCTCGGCTCTGCATACCTCTTGTCGTCGTCCGCTGACCACTTACACGCCGTCTACGAGGACGCTGCGACAAAAGAAGGCCATGAGCACTGGGTTGATTCACCCTCTGAGATCGCTCCCCACGACTACCGCGACTATCTGGGCAAACGTGAGTACCAACGTGCATTCGTCGATTTTTTTGAAGACCAAGTGGTACTCGCGGGCTATGACTGGAAACGTGTGGTCGAACAGTTTCTCTTTGAGCGGGGGGACGCAAAGAAGGGTGAGCCGAATGCGGAGCCCATTTTCAACTGCCTGACTGCAGGGCTGGGCCATCCTTTGATCCATCTCGGGTATGCGTATGAGCTGAATAGCCGCGAGGTGGCGATGGAGGCTCTCGGGCTTGCGGCGACTTGCTACGACGAGAAGCTCGCAAAGCTGTTTGCGACAGCAACGTCGAACGCACAGTCCGCCAATTCGCCGAGTTACTCCACGAACAACCTATTTGAGGTCTTTGACCAGCTCCACAACGACAGTCGCCTTGACGGGGTATTTGACCACTACGGCGGGGACAACCTCACACACCTGCTGAGCGACCCTAGCTTGACCTCGATCCTCCTCGAACACTTTCGCGCGTGGCAGATCGTCAACCCGACAAAGGACTTTGCACAGTCCCAGGCTTTGGCGACCGCGCTCCTCATCGCCAGCGGGCCCAGCGTCGGCGGCCACGGCTGGGACTTTTTCCTCGTGCACCTCCTGACGACGTCGCACGCCGTGAGGATCCTGATCCCCTTCCTCGACCCAGAACACCACCTGCCCCTGGTGAAGGAGTGGCTTCTGATCACCCTCGCGATCTACATCGCGCAGCTCCGCCCCCTCATCAAGACCGCGAACATCACCGACGTGGACCTACAGGGCCGCGACTGGGACTTTGTCACCCGCCAAGCCGTCGATAGCAAGTGGAAGTTTGATGCGCACTTTGTCAAGGCGTGTCGCGCCATGCGCGAGGTCGAGCGGGTCTGGGGCGGCCACGGCGACGACGACAAGTACTACCTCAAGGCGGCGGTCAAGTTTTCCAGCGAGTTCAACGACTGGGGCGGCTTTGGCGCCGAAGAGGGCGAAGGAGGCACGACGAGGGAAGTGAGCTGATCTCTCTCTATCACACACACATACACACTAAGTAAAAGAAAGAGTGAGACTGGAAGAGAAGAGGGGCAGGGAGATGGATACCGAATGAGAATGTAAACCAAAAGCGATAATATTTCAGAATGTAATATCCAAGAGGCTCTCTCTACACAGCTATATATCTCTGGCTATATATACCCAGCTACACGACTCTAGCCACTCAGTCAGCTCTATTTCTCCAACTAGATATCTGTCTACCATGTATTAATGAAATTGGACCAGTACCGAAACGACCCCTACCACCTTGCCACCATACAAACCTACCACGCTTGTCAATAATAGACAAGAATAGAAATACCCTGGCGAAAGATGTACACGCCTTTTTTACCGCTTACCGCCTACATTGATCTACCCACCTATCGGCTTCACAGTGCCCTTCCGAGGAATAAAAGATGGGATGGGGATGGAGATGGAGATGGGGATGGGGATAGGACACCAACGGGTGCTCTCCAACCGGCACAAGGAGCCTCATAAGGCGGGTTTCGCTCTTCAGTGACTAACAAACATGTCGGTCTTGCTCTCCGGTTTGGCCGGGCGGGCCTCGTCGGTTCGCCAAGAGGAGGTGCATCAAGGCAAATGCGACAAATGTATGTAACCTACATCAGTCCCAAGGGTTTCTGATTGACCTGCTTTTCTATTCTGCACTGCCTGGGTGCCCAGACCTGCAATTGTGCAACGTGGACTCAAGTCGCTAGCAATTTGCTTCTTCTGCCTCTTCCCGAGTAACCATAGTCAGTGTCACCCGCTAGGCACATGGCTACTGCAACCACAAACGAGCCTCCAGGTAAACGCCATGTGACGGCAGAAAATGCTCGACGATTCGTCGCCGATGTCCTTCAGGGCAACGGCGTCTCCGAAGAGAATGCAAAGATCATCGCCGAATGTCTAATCCAGGCTGATCTGCGCGGGGTCGATACTCATGGCATGAACCGCATCCCATCGTACATGGAACGTGTCCGACAAGGAGTGCTCGATCCCACTGCCCAGCCCATATTCAATCAGGTCACACCTGTGGTCGGTCAAGTCGATGGCCGGAATGCTTTTGGATTCCTATGCGCACATCTGGGCATGGAGCACGCGATCGAGATGGCCCGCACGTACGGAATTGGCATGGTCAGTGTCAAGCATTCCAACCACTTTGGAATGTCTGCTTGGATCGTACAGCAGGCCATTGACGCCGGAATGATGAGTCTGGTGTTTACAAACTCAAGCCCGGCACTACCAGTCTGGGGAGGAAGAGAGAAACTCATGGGCGTAAGTCCCATTGCTTGCGGTGCGCCTGCGGGGCAAGCGCCACCATTTATTCTTGACATGGCGCCCAGCGTTGCTGCCAGAGGGAAGATCTACAAGGCGAAGCGACGCGGAGAAAAGATTCCTCTTGACTGGGCGTTAGATAAGGATGGAAGGCAGACGGACGACCCCGAAGCAGCTCTGGGAGGTGTCATGCTGCCCATGGGCGGGCCCAAGGGGTCGGGTCTCTCGATTATGATGGACGTCTTCTCAGGAGTGCTCTCTGGCAGCGCATTTGCTGGCCATGTGACCAATCCGTACGACCCCAGTAGACCCGCCGACACGGGGCATTTCTTCGTTGTCATTAAACCAGACCTGTTCATGAGCTTGGAAGAGTTCAAGCAGCGCATGGATTATCTGTACCAGAGGGTTGTGGGGTGCGAGAAGATGGATGGGGTAGAACGGATATTCTTTCCTGGGGAGATCGAACAAATTACCGCAATGGCGAGACTAGCGTCGGGGATTCCCTTGGTCGAAGCAGAGATTGATGCATTGAATGCGGAGGCTCTAAGGGTTAGAAAACAGCAGCTGGTGCTTCTGGAGACTTAACCCCCTTTTGACTCCTGCCTATCTGTGGCGCTGGGTCCTTGGATGGGATTTCTAGGGGCTGACATAACAATTGCATCTTGGTGCGCATGGGAATTTAGGATCCGTCAGTGGCGTGTTTGTCTCCCCCCAGCCGCGTGTCCAACTCGCCAGCAAGCGAGATCGTTCGCCATCAAGCCACCTACGCGATCAAGCCTTTTCGTCATCTTGCATATGGCCCGGGTGTAAAAAAGGGGGGCGGCTGAGGGGTCATGATTTCAACTTCTGCTCAAGGCCATGTCAGTCAGGAAGCACAGCAGTAGGGCCCGTGTTACCCATATCGTCCAGACTTGGAGTGGTCATGATGGAAGAGCCCGAGATATAAGATTTGAACCAGAGAAGTTTTCGCAGGCGGTAACTGTGCCTCACTAGCCTAGGTTCGTTGGTGTGTGACGGGAAGTTATTGAACAAGGGTTGCATGTGGAGAAGTTGGCTTGTTAGGCATCATTTTGCGCCCAGTAATAACGAGAGAATACGATGAAGGATACCAGTTTGCCAGCTTCCGACTTGCTGGGGGTCCTCTTTTTGAAGACCAGGGGGGAGAGGAAATCTCTTGGGAAGGATCATGGTGTCGTCGAGGAGGTCATGGTGTCCCGCATATGCAGCCACCCAAACCTGCGGACTCGCTTCTCTTCCCACCTTCCTTTCACGCAGCGCGGCCACCTGGTGCCACTACCACCACTGCCATCACTACCATCTTCTCACCTGCGCCACACGAACTCCAACCTGAACTGCATATAATCATATCCCGCTCGTTTTTTTTAACCTGATTTCGCCGTCGATGTTGCAGGGGCAACTATTGTCTCTCATCCTACCTAGATTCCACCATCCGATTGTCCCTCCTTCGGCGCACGATCCCAAGACCAGAACTCTTGACCATCACCGCAACTGAGACCAACTGGCTCTTTCGCAGACTTCTGGTTGACTACACCTTCTTTGCCCCGACTGGCTCCTGGGTATCCTTCTTTTCGACATTTCTCACCCTCGTCTGGCGATCTACCGCGAAACCATTCATACTTATAGTCCAGTTTCTCTCGAACCCTATCGTGCCACTGGCTAGGGCTTCTCGGTGATTAGGACATCTACTCAGTGCTTGTGGGAAAGATCCAATATATTTTGACCGGTCCAGAGTCGGTGGAGAGACAAACTAGGTATCGGAAGTCGGCCAATAACACTAAAATGCGAGCGTCCTGACGTCCTCACCTATGCCCCGGTCAGCACACGTCGCACGTAGGCACCAACGCAAAGTACCCAAGGGACTTTTATATTCCTCGTCCGACACAAACCTGTTTCTGGCTGCAGCGCTGCTTCCACAAACATGTCGGGACCGGCTTCACCCGACTCCACAGACCCCTTCAAGGAGGCAAACCCTCCAGCACCTTCTACGCAAGGAATTCCCAGCACCTCAGCATCCCCGACCTTGCGGCAGTACCAAACACCTCCGACATGGATCCCTATAGCTCCCGTTCAGTCACATGTCAATATGTTCACTGGCCGATCTGATACCGAACAATTGATATCGCCTTCGCCGTCAACAAGGTCGGACGAAGGCAGGTTGACTTTGAGTCCAGGATCTATCAATCGTGTCTTCCCTGTTCGTTCGACCGTTTCCATCGATCCTGTTGCTACTCCGATGCCTCGTATGAATCTGGCCAGTGGTTATCCCGGGATGAGACCTCCCATTGGCTCTAGAAACGCAAGTCGTGCTATCCTGGGACGTGTATCCACGTCGACAAGGCACGCATCGGCGTCTGAAGCGTCAGACCCCGGCTCGACATCCTATTCCATGGGCAATATCGACCATCATTTTCTGAACGATATTGTTGCAGACGATGTTTCCACCAAGTCGGAAGTCTCGAGTCTGTCTGGTGGAGTACCACTCTCCGTAGCGTCAGAACCAGGTTTGGTTACGGCACGCTTCAAGCATGTAGTAACTGACGGTGGCCATGCTGTGATTACAGGAAGGGACGGGGAGACATTACAACGATGCGAAGATGAGCCAATTCATATTCCGGGTGCCATCCAGAGCTTTGGTCTTCTCATCGCTTTCCGGGAAGAGAACGAAAAGCTGGTTGTGCGCGTGGTAAGCGAAAACTCGGCGAAATTCATCGGCTATACACCTCCTCAACTCTTCAAACTTGAATCATTTCTCGACATCTTTGTCGAGGACCAAGCGGATAACTTGCTGGACCACCTGGACTTTATCCGTGAGGAAGGTGCAGCAGATGTCGTGGCGAACGGACCAGACGTTTTCCTGTTGTCGATCAAACCTCCACAGGGCCGGACCCGTCGGTTATGGTGTGCTATGCATCTGTCGGAGACAGATCCAGGCCTAGTGATTTGCGAGTTCGAAATCGAAGACGATACGAGAAATCCACTGGCTTCCCCAGAGGACTTGACTCCTCCAGTACCTGAAAACACTCTCGGAAGTAATCCTACAGTTGAAGAACTCATGGACAGCACTGTCAATATCAGCAAGCCGTTACGCGTCTTGCGCAGTGCTCGTAAGAAGAGAACAGAGGCAGCAGCAATGGAGGTATTCAACATCATGTCCCAGGTACAAGAACAACTTGCCAGTGCGCCAACCTTACAAACCTTCCTCAAAGTCCTCATTGGCATCGTCAAGGAATTGACCGGCTTTCATCGTGTCATGATATACCAGTTTGACAATGCTTGGAATGGGAGAGTCGTTGCAGAACTTGTTGATCCTCGATCGACGTGGGACCTCTACAAAGGCTTGAATTTTCCCGCATCCGACATACCCAAACAAGCACGAGACTTGTACAAGATCAACAAGGTCCGCTTGCTCTATGATCGTGATCAGGAGACTTCCCGACTCGTATGCAGAACTGTGGAAGACCTTGAGAAACCTCTCGACATGACGCATGCGAACCTTCGTGCGATGTCTCCGATCCACCTGAAATACCTCGCCAACATGGGCGTTCGGTCATCTATGTCAATTTCGATAAACGCCTTCAATGAACTGTGGGGACTGATCTCTTGCCATTCGTATGGAAGCAAGGGGATGAGGGTGTCATTTCCCATCCGCAAAATGTGTCGGCTAGTCGGCGACACTGCCTCTCGCAACGTGGAGCGTCTTTCCTACGCTTCTAGATTGCAGGCTCGTAAACTTATCAACACCTCCTCCACCGCCACAAACCCATCGGGATACATCGTGGCCTCCTCTGACGACCTATTGAAATTGTTCGACGCCGACGTCGGTGCACTTTCAATTAGGGATGAGACGAAGATTTTGGGAAACCCCCGGGGTCATCTTCAAGAGGTCCTTGCTATGGTCGAATACCTCCGAATGAGAGGGATGAGCGCAGTGTTCTGCTCGCAGGACATCAGCAACGATTTTCCTGATTTGCGATACGAACCAGGCTGGAAATTCCTGGCTGGTGTCCTTTTCGTCCCTTTGTCGACTGGTGGGAATGACTTTATTTCCTTTTTCCGTAAAGGCGTGTTACAAGAAGTTAAATGGGCCGGAAATCCCTACGAAAAATTTGTCAGGGAAGGGACGGAAGGCTATCTTGAACCCAGAACGAGCTTCAAAGCGTGGAGCGAGACCATCGTTGGCCGATGTCGAGACTGGACAGACGAAGAGATAGAGACAGCGTCGGTCTTATGCCTTGTCTACGGCAAGTTCATCGAGGTCTGGCGTCAGAAAGAGGCAGCCCTCCAAAACAGCCAGCTGACTCGTCTTCTGCTTGCCAATTCCGCGCATGAGGTTCGTACCCCATTGAATGCAATCATCAACTACTTGGAAATTGCGCTCGAAGGTCAGCTGGACCAGGACACACGAGAGAATTTGGCTAGGTCCCATTCCGCCTCGAAATCGTTGGTATATGTCATCAACGATCTCCTGGACCTTACGAAAACAGAGGGTGGTCAAAATCTGGTCAAAGACGAGCCGTTCAACCTCTTGAACACCTTGAAAGACGCCACTGATCCTTTCATCGGCGATGCCAAGCGAAAGAATTTACGGTACGACGTTATGATTCAGGCCGAGCTGCCCCAACGGGTCATTGGCGACCATCAAAGAGTTCGACAAGTGGTATCAAACCTCATCGCGAACGCAATACAACACACAAAAGAAGGGAGTGTCATCGTGGAAGCACACATCTTATCAACTCCTCAGGCGCAAGGCAAGACTGAGATCGAAGTTGTTGTCGAGGATTCCGGAATAGGGATGTCTCAGACCAAAGTCGACGCGTTGTTTAGAGAACTTGAAGAAGTTTCCTACGAAGAGGATCTGCCGAGCCCTACCGCAATGACCAGTGATAAATTCATCGATAAAACCCAGTCGGAAAACATCACCCTTGGTCTAGGTCTTGCTGTTGTTGCACGCACCATTCGGAATATGAATGGACAGTTGCGAGTGAAGACGGAAGAGGGGAAGGGTTCTCGGTTTGTCATTGTCCTAAACTTTGAAAATGAAGCGTCCGAGGCAGCCCCATCAGACAACCTTCCACGATCTTCGGAGGCCACGTCTCGACCCTCCACATCTTCCGGGCCGCGTGAAGGCGAGGTCACTTTGATTTACAAGAATCCTCCAAGAACCCCTGAGCCGCCTCCCTTTATTCGCAGAGAAAGTGCTGGCAGTATGAACAGCCTGGCAAGTCTCAAAAGCGGAAAAAGTGCTCCGAGTCTCAAAAGCGAGGCAAGCCAAAGGAGTGACGCCGACAGACTTATTGATGCTATTCAGCAGCCTCTGCATTTGGCTGAAAAGCCGAGCAGCAGTGCTAGTCCTAGCACCAAAGAGTCACGTCGCATTTCTCGAGAGTTGGCTGACGCCTTTTCGAACACTCCCAAAACTAGAAGTCTTCCTTCTCCGAGAGAGCTGAAGTCTGTGTTCTCCCGAACAGGAGGATCGGAAAGGATAAAGGACTCTGGAACCCCACTGCGGCCTGTCCGAGTTCCTGATAACCATCCTGAACATCCCAGCGGGTCGCTATCTGGGTTCAGGGTTCTCTTCGAAGAGCCGGAGTCGGTGGGTACACGATCTGATACGACTGAAACGCCAAAGGTCACATCGTCCGATAACTTCTCGGTCTTGGTTGCTGAGGACGACCCTATCAACAGCAAAATAATGAGGAAACGTCTAGAAAAGCTTGGACATGCAGTTCATATGACAGTGAATGGTGAAGAGTGTTCTTCGGCACACGGCGAACAGCCTGCTTCGTTCGATGCCATTCTTATGGATCTTCAAATGCCCATCGTGGACGGATTCAGCTCCACGAAGATGATTCGATCGTTCGAAAAAACCTACGGCAAGTCGTGTCTTTCCAGTAAAGCTGGTGGCAATGGACGAATCCCTATCTTCGCGGTCTCTGCTTCTTTGACCGAAAAGGAGCACGACAAATATGTGCAAATAGGTTTTGACGGGTGGATATTGAAACCGGTGGACTTCAAGCGAGTGGATCTGCTGTTGAAGGGCATTGTCGACCAGGAAGCTCGGAATGAATGTGTCTATGAGCCGGGCAAATGGGAAAGAGGAGGGTGGTTCTCGCCTCGGGACGAGCATCAAGATCCTTTTGGTATCAACACCAAGCCGAGTGGGGAGACGCCAACTAAGCAATCAGAACAAAGTGATTTCAACATGACCAGAACCACTTCGGCCGAGCAATCGCCACCTTCGAAGGCAACCCTTGTCCTAGACAATGAAAGCACACGATGAAGGCAGCCAATTGGGGGACTGAATGCTACCCAAAGGCTCAAGGAGGGCATCCCTTTTGACGGAGAGTGTCTTGATTTCGTTCCTAACTCTGAATACGATTATGTGTGTATGAATACGTGCTACGAGTTCTGCGACGAGGTTTTCTCTTGGGAGCGAGTTTCAAGCGAGTCAATGTTCAAGGGGGACGGGAATGGCTTCCCCTGGTTTACAAGATGGGTAACCACAGAGTGTCCGACGGATAGATATATCGAGACCACTCAGAAGACGAAAAATGAACAAGACGTTCTCCTCCAGAAAAGTCCTCTCGAAAAGGTTGAGTGAACCTTGCCCGCACGCGTTCACAGAGTCATTCATGTCTTACGCAAAGGACGACTTGACATGATCAATAAAAGTCTTGAGAGCTATGAACTCAAGATGTCGTAAATCATCCCAACCCGCGCTCCCTCGCATTGACACCAACGTTTTGACATTGACATTGACACTCACAATATCCCTGTACCAAAGACTCTGGGTCCCCTTTTGACCCCCTTCTTCCTTTCCCCTTTCCCACTTGTCCAATCCTCGCCGTGTTTTGATATTACTAGGTACCTTCGGTGCCTCATCGCGCCGTGTGTTTGTTATCTTGTTAGCTTATATTATTTAGGGAGACGGAAGAGATTCGACTCCTCGATCTCGGTCCACAGCCGGAAGCCGTCCGAGTCGTTGGTGTAGCTGTACCACAGGAAGATGCCGAGGCGATCGCGCATGGTGGACCAGTTGGCAATGTCCATGTGGCGGGTCAGGTCGTCCAGCATGGTGCGGTACCACCGGCGGTCGGGGGATCCGATGGCGGCGATGGCCCCCATGGTCGCGGCCCAGAGGACCAGGTCGGACGCCTCGTTCCACCACGGTCGGAGCGACGGGTCGAGCAGCTGCTTCTGGATGTCGCGGGCCAGGCGGTGGAAGGGTGCGGCGATCGCGGGCAGCGGAAACACCACGAGCAGGTTATAGACGAGCGTGCCCAGCCGCGCGAGACGGAGTAGAGGGTGCTCGTCCTGGAGCTCGTCGGGCAGCGGCGTCAGGAACAGCAGGCTGTGCTGTACAAAGTTTCTCTCATTCGCGATGAAGCCCAAATGCTGGGCCTCGGGCCTCCCCTTGACACGGTCGTCCACGGCGAAGGTGTACTGGATGATCCACTTCAGAACGACGAGGAGTTTCTCGGACATCTCGTGCCCGAGAATCTCTGGGAGGACGCGAAATCCTCGGCCGAGGCCGACCAGCGGATGGGTTTTTCTCGACGAGGCATTCAAAGATCCAATGACATCGTCATACATCATCGCGTACGACAGCAGGGGTCTTGTGAGAGTCTGGCTGGCGAGGATGATATCTCCGCTATATTTGCGGAGTGAGTGTCAGGCTACAGGTTCGCGGGGAAAGGAGGACGACGACTTACAAAGAAATAGCTTGCGCTAGCCCGGGCAGCCTGATTTTCGAAAGACCTCCGCGAAGATCCAACATTTTGGCCAGACCTTGTAGGTGCACACCGACAGTATGCAGGCGACCCCCATACAGATGAAGGAGTTGCAAAGTGGTCAGTGGACCTTGGGATGGTACTGGACCGGCAAGATGGACTCGAGGCTCTCCGTGATAGGAGAGGGCGTATACAGCCAGGATGTTTTCATCCTCGCAACTCACCGAAGCATCGGCAAACTTCTGGTGCACACCTCGAATGGTTTCGGTGTAGCATTGCATCTGTTCCGGTGATTGGGCGGGGGACAAGCGGAATATGCGATTGCGTGTGAGTTGACAAAATAACGAGGCGTGAAAGAGGCTTCGATCGCGGAAGGTCATCTTAAGCCATTTCTCCGAGTGTGGACTTAGGGTCTGCCCGTTCTCGGGCGGGAACATTATACACAGGAAGCTATTCACTGACGGCCACAGTCAGTCTCCTCTGTTTGACTCTACTCCAAACGGCCCAGCGCATACCTTGATCGAGCACAGGGCTCACAAACTCCTTGGGTAAGTCGGATGGGTATGTTTCAAACGGGTCATGGTGGCCAGAGACCAGCAAGCTCGACAGGCTGGCGCTGGAAATCGAGACCAGTTCTCCTGCTGGCACCGGCGACTCTGTAGCAAAGTCGGTTGTCTCATCTTCAGTTTTGGGTGTCCTGTCATCGCTGTCCGTTGAGGAAGACCCTATCGTCTGAGGAGTCGCGGGAGCGAGGACCCTCTTGGTAGGCCTGACCTGGCTGCGGATTGAAGAGCGGCGTCTTGCTGCTACCGGCCGACTTGAGGCGCCATCGGTGGATTTCTTGACCCGCCGCCAGTGGTAGTTGGAAGCATTGGAGCGGACGAGGGTCTTGTTGCGCGAGCGTTCGGCGTCCGTGGAGGGGTTTGCGGTGACGAACTGAAAGGTCTTGGTGGCGGAGGAGGAGGAGGAGACAGGGCTCGAGGCTGTGATTCCAGCGCTGGGATCTGGCCGAGGGGTCACGGCTTGCGCCTTGTGCATGTCCTGCCGTTGCTAGACATAATCTTGGACAAAAACCTGGCCGACAGGAAATGAAGATGAATTGGGAGGTGTGCCAGCGCTTTGACAGCCGCAGTTTGGAAATCAAGAGGGTGACCGACAGGCATGGCGCTCGCTAACGGGTGTGGGGTTTGCCTCGAAAATCTGGTTCCACGGTTCCCATGCAGGTCACAGGGCCCCATGGCCCGCGGTGTGTTGAAGCCGAAGTCTGAAATTCGACTTGGCCGGACCGGGGGAAAGGGGGGGGCTTCACTAGGCTTCCTAGTCTGGGTGCACCAATAGTGGTTGGCTAAAATGAACAATTCGAGGGCGCAGACAAGGCGTTTGAGGGCATGTGGAGGGTAAGAAAATTCGGTGGATTTTATCCGGGGCGCAGGCGACGCTGTTGCGGCTGGGAAACCTTGACCCCCGCAGCCTACACATTTGACAACCTCCACGCTTTCCTTTCTCAGGGTGTTGACGTCGACGACTTGAAGCAACGATGGGATTTGTCCAAACCCTATAACCAGGGTTTCAGGGGTTGAATGGTCTGTAAATAAAGGTGAAGATCGCGCGGAGACGCACGACAGGTACAAAGCGCGGACTCGAACACTAGGTATTATTTCACAGACTCGTTGTCTGGGTAGTCCCGATATGGCAGACACACCCTCAACTAGGCGAGAATCAGCGTCTATACAAATAGATGTAAAGCAAGCACCCGTTTCCTGTCATCACCTCCTATCTCTTACAATCTTCTCTTGGACAATTGTCTGGAGAGACCAGCGAGAACACCTGACGTCATTCGACCTGGAAAACAAGGCGGCGGTAATGGTTGGATCTCATGACAATCGACATCATTTATGCTAGGATACATACTGGCATACCTTTCTTGCAAGTACTATATCTTTCCTTTGCCATTCGCATACACATCAGCAGTATTGTGTTTCTGTCACGTCACACCAGAAGAGGGAGGAAAATGCCTCGCCGTCCAAAGAGGAGAAAGACAGCAACCGACTCATCAGTGGCCGATGAACCGCCTCCGGCCATCGTGAATACTTCTCCTGTCGAGGGAAAACCTGACATTGACGCCAAGATGAAAGATGGAGGAGAGGAACACACCTTGGTCGCTGCGGAGAGCGATGAAGTCCACATTGACACAACCAGCAACGCCAGCGAAGCACCTACGTTTGACGACATTGATCCCACCGACCCCGTCGACCGCGCAATCTTCGAGGAAGAACAAGTCCCATATGATGATGCTGATGACGCAGGTGTCACCCACTCCAAGCGGAATGGACACATAAGCGGCAAACGACAGGGGGGCGGCTTCAACGCCCTAAAATCCTTCCACGGCCAGATATACACGGGCATGGCCATTGGCGGCTCACACACGTGGAACTACGACCAGGGAGTCTGGAAAGAAACCAAAGTCGAGCCGGACCTCTGGAAAATCGACTACGAGACGACCAAGCGACGGGCGCGGAACGCTCCCAAGGGGAGCGGCGCGCCGGTGGGCACAGAGTATCATTGGCTGATAGTTGCTCATCAGGTTCGGGATTGCCCTCTCTTCTTACTCTATCCTTTGACATGGAGTACATCATTTTGTCACTTGCGGAGCAACACACAGCTAACTATGAGGATGTCACGGTTTCAATTGGATGAGTCTAGCACGTCAAGAAAACCGACGCAAACACGTACACAACCCACCTCGTCGGGTCCAAGTACAAGCTCGCGCACAAGAACGCCAATGCCACGTCGTGGTCCGTGCCGACTGTCAAGGCCCAGCGCGAGCGGGAGATCGAGCTGCTCGAAGACGCGAAGCGCAGGGTGCAGGGCCTCCCGCCCGTTCTGGCCGGCGAGAGGGTAAAGGTGGAAAAGGGGACGGAAAGGGGCCAGCAGAAACTGGACGCTTTGTTCTCGATGTCGGGCAAGGTGAGTGGAAGTGATGTTTGGGGTGGGAAGAGGAAACGCAGCGAGGTTGAGGGCGAGGGCGAGGGCAAAGGGGAGGAGAAAACGTAGGCAAGGGATGGACAGATGGGAGGCAAGACACAGACAAAGAGACTTGGAGATTCCGTACGAATGTACCGAGTCCATTACTATTGAAAGGGTCAGTCTGGTCATTCGCCATTGAACCTTGATTGGCGTCAACATTAAAGAGGACGATCTAACCGAACAGTAACGAGACGAGCCAAAGATGCGAGATGTACAGGTTGGTGATCTCGATAACATTCGTTACATACTGTTTGTTATGTGCAGTCCCTTCCATCGGGGAAGACACCCTGATCCTGATCCAAATGGTCCCGTCAACATTCACGCCATGCTTGCGATGCCACGAAGCCCATCCACCCACCCAACCGAGGGACATGAAACCGTACAAGACGTTTTCTCAAATTTTAAGAATTATAACAAAATTTCTCGCTGTGATATTTGTGATCCTGTTCCTCACACATGCTCTTTCATCGTTGCTGCGCCCCATAACCGTACCCGCCATTCCCATAGCCAGTGTGCGGCGTGT